CGTAAGGTAATCGTTGCTGTGAAGCTACAGAACCCATCAGTGTAATCACCTTTGGATTGCGGGTCTAATTCGGGCCGACGAGGTGGAATTTTTTTGATTGGAGAGGAACTTGTAAAAACTCGATATGGTGATAGGTAGGCCGTGAGCGGTGGTCGTAGCGAAGTGGAAAGTTTGGGTCGGAAGTCGTTCTGTTATGACCACTTTTCCGTTGTGTGGAAACGGCCATGTCCGATGGTACTCGAGGGTATTGGGGCTGTGTGGATATCCAAAGAATGCTAAACTTGGGGCAAAGTCCTGCAGCACTGGTGGGACCCGCACTACGAGAGCAAACTTTTGTTTGACGAAATGCCACACGTTTACGGGCCAGTACGACCCTAAGAACACTCTTGTGAGCTTTCGAGTAAGACTGCAGGGTAAACTGCATTATTATTATAGAAGCAACTGTGAATGACTCTCGGGGATGGGGTTCATAACCGGAGGCAACTTAACAGACGCAGTAGGTGAGGAAGTACGGCTTGTGATTTGGGCTAGACAGGGAGTTAGGAGACTGCCTGTGATTATGCAGCGTCAAATAATGAGTAGCTTTCCAGCGAAGCCATGCCACGGGTAAGTGGGCGTCGGGGGGGGAGGGAATTTTTGTACTCCCTACTTGGAATCAGCGTGTCGAGCCATTTAGAGAAATGTATCGTGAGCCTACAAGAGTTGACAGCTTCTACCATGGTAGTTAGACGTGTTTGCACGAGATTTACAAGAGTTCACAGGTTTCACCAGAGTTAGTCTTGTGAACCACTACTGAAACTGCGAAACTACAAAATGCCCCCTCCCTCCCATTTGTCCCCCTCCCCGGCGTCGCCTAACTGCGCTTTATGCCCCCTCTTGGTGTGGTTCAAAACATCCGTGACGTGAGATTGTGCCCAAACTAGCCGTAGTGTCGAGCTGGTTTACTTGAGCTGTAGCACATAGGTACACGAGGACACATACCCGGCATCTACGGCTCAAAACCTCGTCATTTAGGTGCGTGATGTAGCGCGGCGATGTAAGATTGTCATGTCAGATACCCCTGCAGTATGGCTGAGTTGGGTCAATTATTTCCTGGTGCCAGTGCCGCTCACATGATGTTGATTGTAACAATTCCTTCTTTGCTATGTTTCGAAGACAGCACCAAACCTGGTAGGGACAGGTGCTATCAAATTCACTGGTGGGAGGGCTGCTAGAGGACGTTTGCTCATACCCCACCCACCCTTTCCACCAATGGCGAACGTGCTTGCGACAGCTGCCGCGAAATACGTGTCGTGTCACTGCCTTTAATGTGCTCGTCTACACCCCCGTTAAACAGTCCGATATTGGAACGTCATTGATTAGCGCTTTTTGCAGAACTGTCAAGCGTCTCCCAATGACAAGTAACCAGATGATTTAATTCTGGGCTGATACTGGTTTCGGTAATGGGGAAAATGGTGAAAAAGCACCCTATGTCACTGTTTCGTGGCATCTGCAACGAAGGGGCATCCAAGGCTAACCAAAAGAACTATGAATGATGAATGTTCGCGCTAACGTCGCTCTATGGGAGGAGGGTGTTTCACTTTGAATTTGGCCCAGAAAAAAGAGCCCAACATTCTATATCAACGCGGCAACAGCCTTCTCTCCATCGTTAATGGTTTTTGTGCCATTCAAAGGCAGACGAAGTCAGAGTCGAACCGGCAAGGTCAGTCGAAAGTGCGACTTTTATGGAAAACGTTTGTGACTTCATGATTCGATTTTCTACCGTAACAAACAATCGATCGTTGCCGGCCTTTTCTGGTTCCTCAAGGCCACAAACGGCTATGAGAAGGTTCTCCAGGTGAATAGTCGTAGTTTTGTGGATTCCACAAGACTATAAGTTGGTAAAACAGGCGGGATACAGTATACTCAAAATGCGCGTAAAATCGAATGTCTCGGTCCGTGGTGGTACGGAATTGGCATACCGTAGGCCGGTCTAATGATTCGACTTTGAAGCCCTTGTGAGAATATACCTCTGCTATACTACCCTTGCCTAATCTGCTTGATGGACGCCTCCTCTTTAGCTAGAAAGCGAGAGCGATGCTAATTCTGCTATCCACCTCTACCCAAATGCCAGGCGTGAACTGAGGTGTACTTTGTGCACTCCTAGGCACTTGATTTTACGTGCACTTTGGGATACGGTATCCCGCCTGTTTTTTTTAATTTCTAGTCTAGTGTCAATTCCGTTTGGCTGTTTTCTCATTCAATTGCTGCGGTTGAAAAAAGGAAAGTCATAGTGCTGTGCATGGAAGGAGAAAACGTTAATTGGGCCCGATGTTCCCTTTTTGCACCTGTCCACGAAATGCGATGTTACTCGTTCGTTTCAGAAACATTTGTGCATTTTCAGGGGTTCAGAGATGAATTAACATTGCGCTAATGGGTCTGTTTTGCCGAATTTCAATACTGGTTTAAGAGCCATGAATGATAACAAGTGGTTCATGCTGTCTTGGAAAGACGCAGTCAGACTGTACCAGTTTAACAGTGTAAAGTACACTGCGTTCCGTAAACATGGGCAGATCCTGAATTTTTGCTGTTCCAAACTTGTAACGTTCTTGAGTGAGGCAGTATAGTCATGACCCCTACGAACGATAGAGCGTGGTTTAGAGCACAGTCTCATCGGGAGATGGACAAGAGAATCGTAGTTTGCCGCTCCGCCGCGCAGGCGATGGGTGCGGCGTCTTCTTGATTCGTGTTAACCTCGCGATTGGAGCAGCGGTTTTCACGTTTGCTACGAAAATGTAGACATTTATGGATACGCTCGGTTCTACGTTGCCTGTTGTCGCCATTTACGATCTGAAAGCGTCGTCATTCGCGGGCGCGACGTCGCGCGCGACGCCCGTCAGCAAAATTGCAAAACGTAGTGACTTGGGAGGTAGAGACCGACGCGCAGTGTTGCTGCCATCTTGAGTTTTTGGGTCTCAGCCCCGCTTGCAATGCACCAACACTGATTATCTCAGGAACAGTTCTGAACTTTCCTGAATATGTATTTTTGTAACAATTTTTCAGCATTTCTTGATGGCACAGAGGGTGATGGCGGGGGCGAGCAGCTGCTGCCAATGTCATTGGTGTAAGGCTTCGTGAGGGCGTTTGGCCACACCCTACTCCGATCTTCCACAAATGAGGTTGATAGCAACCGCCCGCTTATAGCCATTGTGCCTTCGAGGGGACATATGTTTTTTTTGACTTTTATTAAAGCAAACACATCAATTTACATCTCCTTAAAGGTATTGCTTTACCTTCATTCCTGTGGATTCCTGCCAATAGGCTTCGATAAGCTTGCATAGGCTAACGCAGAGGAGTCCAGTTTGGTCAAGGTGTCATCGATGGACTATGCGAGCCTGTCGGTTGTTAAGCAGCGTTCAGACTTCGCGAGAGCAATCGCCCATGCTATCTTCGATCGACGCTGTGGAATATATGCGCGATTGATCGTGTCGAACGTGCGATCGAAGCGCTGCCGTCGCGATGTGTGAACGCTGCCTTATACAGTGATTTACGGCGCTGTAAAACTTCTTGGTCTTAGGGATTTCTGAGTCCCATCGGGTTTATGTAGTAGTTGATATCGTCGCAATGATGCAGGGCGGCGTCGAGAGGGCGGGATGAGCCCGCTTCCCGCTTGCTGTACCGCTTTACGAAAACAACCAGTGATGGGAACTGTGACCGTGGGCTCATTTCATCCCTCTTAGAACCACCCTATTGATTCCGACGAAATCAGCTGTAGCAATATTCTTGCGCTTAGCGCCACAGGAATGACCTTTTAGTCCTATTTGGGGATGTTTGTCGTTCCGGTCAACGCGTTTTCTAGGCATTATATTATTCATTTTATTTTTAGATATTTTCCAATAATTATGGCAATGCATACGTATTCACATGTTTCCATTCATATTAATATCCCTGTAACGCTGGAACATAAAAAGTGATATAAATCAAAATGGACACTTTTTCCCCGTATCGCCGCATGACACGCAGGTTTTGCTTGCCGATGAGAGCCAAGAGATGATCGTTAGTGATAGAAAACCATAGATGGTCAGCGAGGAGTCACCCAGCACTAGTCCCAGCAATATAGAGAGCGCCAGTCGTATTGAGTCGAAGATCAGTGAGAAGCGGCTGAAAATTCTCTCTCGTAGAATGTCTTATGGCTCTTGCAAGATTTTGATAAAAGGAATCAAAGACACCTGTGATTGAAATAGTATTCACTACTGTATGAAGGGAATATGGCCACTCGATCAATGAATCTGCTTGGCCAAAACTGAGAAATAAGCGAAACTTGTCGAATTGTAGAAAACACGAAATAAGAAGCGCCCATTGTGCAAACAAATAATAGCGAAGACTGCTTGCTAGTGGGGATTGTAGCGGACTTTCGGAGGGCGTTCACCTGAAAAGCAGCTGACCTTGTCTGCCCGTTGTAGAATTTTTGGACAACAACGTTGAAGGTTGTTGATTTGATGGATCTCACATTTATATTGATGATTAGTTGAATCAATGCAGTTTCAACGGAAGGTGAGGGCTTTTGAACGAGATAGCGACATGCCTGGTTATGCGAAGGCGTTAGTCTCATGCCTTCCCTTTGGATTCTCAGTGAGGCTACTGAGCAGCAAAGGAGTTCCGAGGTGTTAACTGTCTTTTGTGATTAATCCTTTCACCAATGATGAGATTGACGTAGCTCTTGAGACATTTGAAAACAAACTGTGGGCAGCATGCGCCTGCGTCAGACCTCGCATGTTGGAGTGGATGGGTTGGGCGCAGCTGCAGTGGCGTGGTCACTTTCAATCCCTCAAAAATATTAGGTCGGTCAAATAAATTGCTTTTTTTTGCACATCAGTTTTTATCTTACTGTTTTTGGTGTTTTATTCATTGAATTTTTCATCTTGGTGTGCATCATTTTGAAGCTTATTCAACGGTCTTTCATTTTTTGGCTTTCGCTTGTTTCAAATTTCACTCTCCGGGAATTTCAGACCATATCTAAGATGCTGTCTAAAGGGCAGATTCGTATGATTTTGCTTTATGTGTTCAAACTTGGACGAAAAGATGTGCTCATGAAAATAATGTGAAAACGTGGGGACCAGATGTCCATTCACTTCACAGTACCCATGTGACTTCGAAAATCCCGAAAAAATAGTGATCAGTCACTATTTTTTCGAAAATTCCGATCCGGAGACACAGACCTCCAGGATGAGCCAGTTCGAAGTTGATGATGACTGCTCAAGTCACCGGTGGAGTCCGATCCACGAAAAACTATTCGTGACTTAGCGGAACTTCAAGTGTCGACTGTCGCCAAGCATTTGGAAAAACCTGGAAAGGTGAAGATGGATCAATGTGCACCTCATATTGAACGTTGAACAGAGGTCGAACGTTCTTCAAGCGTTATCAGATCTTATCGGCGCTGCTTCTGCGTAACAAGAACGAGCTTCCCCTCGATCGAATTGTGACGATGAGAAATGGATTCTGTGCAGTAATTGAAGACCTTCTGCGCAGTGGTTGAACAAGAGCACAGAGCATCTTATATATTCGGAGCATTCTCAGAGAGCATCTTAGACATTCGGTCTGAAATTCCCGAAGAATGGAATTTGAAACAAACGCAAATCAAAAAAACGAAGGACCGTTAGATGAGCTTCAAATTGCGGTGCAACAATACATTTCTAAAATGGATAATACACAGAAAAACAGGAGGTACAACAAAGGGTAAAAATTGGTGTGCAAAAAAATTATTTGTACACAACCTAACCTACATGAGCAGTGGATCAGAGGGAACCGAGTGTCGTCCCCGTATTCCGACCGCGCCGCCGCATGGCTAGTGGTACGCCTAACCACAGTCAAACGCGCTACGTGTTCACGATCTGAGTTACATTTGTTCACTATCGCTAGATGAGTATTCCTCTGCGGTCTTCTGGTATCGAAACAAGTGCTGCACAATGAAGATAGCGCGGGCGAAGTATGGAGATGGCAACCGTGTATACCCCATGAACACCACCTTTCAGCCCTGTTCCCGCGTTTTTCCATTTCTGAGAAAAAAGTGATGCTGTGATTTTGCAGACCAACTCACCTCGCACGTGGAAACGACCGTCTTTGTAGCCGGGTGCATAGTCTGGCTCTAACGCCTAATAGCAAGTGCGCATGTCATTTGACTAGTTGTGGAATGATCAACAATTCCTGTTTTTTTTGGGCACTGTTAAGTGCCAATACTGAGGCGACTGACCTCAGGTGCTCCCGCAGTGTGATCCTCCATAGATAGCCACAGAAAGAACCACTTTGTTCGCATTCCAGGAAAGTAGGCCGGAGGGTATAGAAGCGGCTTTAACCTAAAACACAGACTTCACTGGGAGCATATAATAATGAAACTCACTTAGTTGGTAACTCAGAACCAGCCGTCTCACCTTGTTCCATACACCTGGGAATAGCTCTTTATTCTTCTCGTTTCTCATCTGACATTTGTCGTAGACGAACGTCTTAAGTGCGAATAGCTGAAAATGTGTTTCCTCAGAGTTTCCACCTGTGAGAAATTAATCATTTGAATGCTTGCCTGGCACCACATCTCGTCGAATGACGCTACCGGTTTGACCAACCCGTAAGCGATTTCTTCGTTCTTTCGTTCTGGTTCATAAGTGCCAAAAAGCCTGCAAATGACAGCTTTCCTGCCTTTTAGGGAGAAAGGAAGCGTTGCTGACTTCACTGGGAGACACCACGGACAATACGTTGGGGGGGGGGTTGGGAGAAGTGAAGCGAATTTTCCCAAAGGGAAAGGTGAAAATTAAGACGTGAAAATCAAATGTATGACAGCCGTTCAGCGGTTTACTCTGAAACTTCTTGGTTAATCTCCTCTTCCGAACACTTTATCCTTTCTGAGGATTCATTTATTCTCCCCTTTTCCAAGCGGTGAAAGGCGTTCATGAAAGCCAAATAGTGGGTGTGCAAGATCAAAAGAAAACAGCTCCACCTGTCCCACACGCTGAACACTGCTCCATAGTTTCTGTCGATGCAGTATGGATTTCTGCCATGATGGACTCGGTGGCTAGACGGAGTACTGATGATGTATTCGATCGGACCAAGGTTAGGTACAGCCTGCAAATGTGATTTTTGCAGTACTGAGATTCCACTCGCTGATCTTTTCTGTTTTGACTTCGTTTTTCGTTTTTCAATCTGCCGATGGGAAGAGTTTTACTACTGAGAGTGACTTCAAATTCGCCTAGCTACTGACAATCATAGATAATAGGCTCCCTTCCTGCTCGCTCGCTCTGCTAGCGAAAGGACCAGGTGATCAGCATTGTTAGTTTTTTAAGGGGTGCGAACTAAAGGCTCACTTTTGAGAACTTGGAGGATTTCGGTTTCGTCCTCCCTGCGGGCGGAAGGGATCCGCGGTTACAATACCGTGCCACTCAAAAGCTGGAAGGCAGTGATCATTAGCAGTTCTGAACACTACCCGGCGAAAAAGCTGACACTACATGCTGCATTATCTACGGGTAACTATAATCAAGCGCGCTTCTTGTCTGCGCCCTCTTACGATTATTTGTTCTTTGCAATAGCAGCTTGCCGTTTGTGTTGTTCTTTGCGGGACCTCGGCATCTACACACATGCCATTCGGATTCCAAAACCCTCCAGCATGCCAATTCACCAAAGAAGGTGGTTACTGCTGCAGCTACGGCCCACTCATCTTGCACACTGACCTACAGAGAAGAAGGTAATCGTTCCCCCGTTCTTCTCCCATATGTGAATGACCGACTACGGAGAAGAGTGTACAGCTTGCCCTTAAGAGGGTATTCGTGAAACGTGTCTCCGGTGTTGAATGCATTGCTGAGCCTTCTTCATTGGTAGGCAAGAGATCACCGAAACTTCCTGGAACATTTCTGGAAACTTCAAATAAAGTTTTACCCAGAAAGGCTCTCGCTATCTAGCCGCCCACGGAAAGATAGGAAGGGATGGTTTTAGTCCACAAAGTGCAGCACAAGGCGTTATCTCCGCTACACCTTTATAGCAACAAAGTAGCATTAAAAGTAATAATAGAACTGGAAAACCACTCTATACTG